CAGAGTATCCACGATGTCGAGTCACTTCAATTGGAGCCTACATTACAACTTGATCAATAGAGTTCTATCAGCAGTAAAATACTAGACGAATATTATCCCGTTCACTACTCAGTGACCAATCAATAGTAAAGAACATTACCGGTGAAAGCCATACATTTATTTACTAATCCACATAATCAAAATAGTATACACTTATTCTATGTTTGTAGACACTAAATCTTGATCAAGAATAGTTGAGACGTTCATGTTTTCTTTTCATAATACCTATTATCTAAAAACCTATGAGCGTATGTTTGTGAATATCCTTACCTATCTATTATCTATAACTCATTAACTAACGAATACTGATTTAGTCGTTGGTACAAAATAATTTTAGAGAAATAATGAAACCGTTTAAACTTTTCACACTTGTTACTTCAGAAATAAGAAAAAATCACCTATGTAATTAATACGATAATTATTGACAATTGTATTAGATATATAATGTTCACTGTGAACAATAAATGTTGGGAAGTAATCACTAATCTCTCAATTCTACCCATTGTAACTTCAAGAATGAAGACGATTTATACTTATGTTCGTTTTAGCTCTGGCTAATTATCTATCAATTTAATATTGTTTTGTGATTTCTTTTTAAAATCCTAATGTTTGCCAGAAAACAAAATCAAAAATCATAAGTGTATAGTTTCTTTACTATTATTTCTGATCATTATTTACTAGAATTACTGTTTCTTTGATATAAATAGTGGTATTAAAATTCGCTACTCAGTCAGTCAGTAACAACGTGGAACTTCGTACGTACGTACATCAGTTCGAATTGTCATACCGCATTAGCACAGAGATTCAGTTATCGATTCAAATTCCGTAGTGGTAGAGGTGGTAGGAGTATAAGCAGTAATCGGAAAGATTAGGGTTTGAAGATGTTATTCAAAGAATATAATCCAGTGAAATAAATTTTGAAAGCGAAAGAAAACGGACACGAAGAATTCAAAAGACTAGAATTTGGGAGAACAAAAAGAGTGGATGCACCTGCGCCATTGCAAACGATTTTGAGCCATGTCATTCAATGTATCTAACCATCGGTTGATGTTTGTGCTAATGGTTTTTATGATAGTATAACTAATCAGATAAATGTATTATAGGTAGTCAAAATGGAACTTGTTCAGTAGAACCAATTATTGAGGAACTCTCGAACAACTGATTGAATGTATCAAATACTGAAATCTGTCATTGTGAATCATAATTGAATAATAATTAACTAAGGAAATATAAAATTACCTTTCATGTAAACATTTATAACAATTTGTTTCACTAGTCGTTTTATAGCAATATCAAGAAGGGGCAATTTCATTTTACCAAATTTAGTCAAGTCATATTGTTTGGAATTTTGTCTCGTTAAATAACAATATTATAAGTTTGTGGTAATGTTTATTTATCTCATTACTTACTGGAATTATATGAAATCTGTTCAGCGATTTTGAGCGAGATTTTATGTTTTCAATATCAGTGATTCTGAACGGTCATTATAAATCTTTAACTCACGCTAATTTTTCTATTGTATTATTTCGTAATTTAAATCCTTGGTCAAAAGATCGTTTATTTCAGTTTCCAATTCAATGCCTACCAACACCGCCATCTGATTGGTGTTCCGATCAAAACTCATTATAGAATATCATATCATACTGCATAAACTATTATCGATGCTGAAATACCTCTCTTGATACAACTTACATATCAGTCTACTCTGAGAGCATACTGACCTATTGTCTATGATCCATCCAATTCTTAATCCAATGATAGTATTGTCCCCGTATTTTGTCACACTAAGGAGAAAGTGTCCTTCTGACAGATGATATGTATAATTTGTTTAACTGGGTTAAAAATCACTTCAACTTCTGAACATAATTCATTCCGGATAATAATAATATTGGTTGTCTCCATGTGATCTGCTTTTCGATGTTGTAGTGCATCCACCTCTGTTCATGTAGTCAGTTATCCCAATCATTGACTGAATATATATATATATATATATATATATATATATATATATATAAATATAAATATATATATATATATATATATATATATATATATATATATATATATATATATATAATACTATTTTCGTAAGGCTCAAACATGAATTAAGTTCTTAAAAACAATGTCGAATCATTCAAGAAAAATTATTTAATTTCAAATAACTGCTCATAATTCACAATGATGAAATATGTTTTAACAAACAAAATGATACAACATTCTTTTGTTTATTCCACATTTATTATACAAATGTAAACAACTAAATAATGACAACAATAACCAAGATGTAAACACAACCAATTAATCAATCAATAACAGTCCCATTTTGATAAAGTTATACGAATTGTATTTCAAAATACTCATAGTAATAATGTTGATGATAATTAGAAAAGATAAGCAAACATATGAATATTACATTACTATTATTATTATTACTATTCAAATGAATAGTATAGTAATTAAA